TACTAGAATGCTTAAGCTTAACGGGTTTAAATGCGCACTTTTCAGTGCTCATCAATATGACTTGGTGCAATATTCTAGAATTTATCTCGAATATGCTCCAAAGCTAACATTTACGTTATTTTATTTTCTTAAAGCATCATGTTAAATGTCAATGAGATGTTTTGGTGAGATTAGATAGAGTATATACCTTAGTACTGTGTTAGACTTGAATACCATTGAGATAGCCTAAGGAACTCCAGTAAGAGATTGTATTTTGAGAATGATTATTTATTATTTAAAAATTTAACCGGAGGTCAATAATGCTGACTTGGTTGGTAAGTTTTAAGTTGACATGGTTATTGCCCTATTACCAAACTTGTTTGACTCTTTTAGAGTGAACTAAATAAGGAATCAGTTTGAGTGCGCACTCACTGATATTCTTATAAAATTGGTAACAAATGAAGGGATAATCAAAAGTATGGGCGTTCCTATCAATCTAACCTAGTCTATACCATCTTCTTCTAGGCCTAAGTGGATGGGCAAAGGAAAGAAGAAGGATGATAATAGGACTAGGCTAACATAAAATATGGGTATCTAAAAGGTTAAAGGAAGTAAAACAGTGTAAGTTGAGGGCAAAGGAAACTGTTTCTTTTGCGATTAACTAAGACACTAAAGGACGAACTGTCTAAGCAACGACGTGGTATAGGAAAATGTATATTTAATCATTAAGCCATGTTATGTGGTTGTATCTAGTAATTCCTGATGGATAGATTCTGGAGCCACTAAACATGTTTGCAATTCATTGCAACAATTTCAGGAATCCAGAAGCCTCGATGATATGGATATATATTGTCCTTGACCTAATGCCAAGGTTATAGCTAAGTCAGTGGGACTATTACATCTAAAATTAGAGAGTATGAGGATATTAGTATTACAGAACTATCTTTATGCACGGATGTTGGACACAATCTAATTCTTGTTTCATTTTTGGTTTATAAAAACTGTGTTGTTATTTTGTAAAACTGGTTTTATAAAATTAATTAGATGTGCGATTGCTTCTGGTGCATTGAAAGATGGTCAATATACTATAACCACAAGTTCTTAATATTTGTAGGATGTAGAAACTAATGTTGCATCTTCTAGATTGAATGTTAAGAGAAAATTTGTTATTCCTGACTTATTGTATTTTTAGTGTCTATTTTTGGGTTGTAATCAGTTAAAATGAGATTCAAAGATTAGTTAAAGAAGGTTTATTACCTAGTAAGGCAGGGGAGCCTTAACCAAACTTATGAATCCTGTTTTGAAGGATATATAACTCTAAAGGCTTAATCAGCTAAATGAAATAGACAAAAAGAACAATTGGAGTTGGTATGCACAGACACGTGTGGTCTTATGAACATCTAAGCAAGATTACTCACGTTTTGGATAAATTTACCTGATGCAACATAAGTCTTAAACTTTTGGTATAATCCGAAAGTGTCAAGACTGATGTAAAGCACAAATTAGGTAAACTTATCAAAACACTTCGATCTGATCATGGATATGTGTATTTCTTGGGATAGTGTAAAGATTGTATGGTTAATAAAGGTGTTATGTACCAGTTTTTCCGTAATTGATGCTCAATGAATTAAGGTGTCAAATAGGAATAACAGAATTTTGTTTAAACTTGGTTAGATCTATGATCAGTTATACTACATTATCTCTTTCATTTTAGAGTTTAGTCTTATTGATATCGATGCACATTATGAACTGCATTCCATCTTAGTCTGTCTAAATGATACCTTTTGAGCTGTGTTTTTGACTAAATCTTAGTTTGAATCACATGCACATATGGGGTAGTCTTGCACATGTGTGCTTAATATGGACAAGTAAGTTGGAAGCAAATCATACGCATGATAGATTTGATAGTTACTCTAAAAGGCACTAGGATAGATTATTTTATGATCTCAATGATAAAAGTTGATTGCTTACACTCACTGTTTATCTATATAAGGATCATATTATGAATCATATAGCTAGTAGCATAATATTAGACAATATGGTCAAAGTACCAGTTGTACCGCAAATGAACACACTTATTATAGAAATTAAGAATTATATATGAATTCCCTATTGATATGTCAGCATCATCTACGGTACATTGATGTAGTGAGAGGATTATCTTCCAATCCGACAAAATCATATTTTTAGGTGAGACCTTTATGGACATCCCTATTAAACATGGGTTGGACCCAGTAAGCTACACGGAAGCGTGAACCGATATAGATACAGATCATTTTGGTGAGTTGCTATGAAATCAGAGTCGGAATCTATGTATTCTAATAAAATCTGGGATCTTGTAGAACTTTCTAGTAAGGTGATACCTATGGAAGACAAGTTAATCTGCAAAAGGATACCATAAGATTTCTTAGTGAATAAATCACGAGTGTACAAGGGAATGTTATTATTTTTCTAATTTTATATATATTAATGACATCCTACTCATTTAGAATGATATGGAAAGTTTCGTCATCAATAAAGAAACAGTTGTTTAATTACTTTGAAATGAAGGATTTTAAAGATATAAGCTATATTCCTAGATCAAACTTTTATAAGATCAGGTTAAAAGGAAAATAGGCTTATCTTAATAATCCTACATTGATAAAGTTTTGACCAGGTTTGGTATGCAAAACTCAAAGAATGAGTTCGTGTTTTATTGATATGGATTGCTCTCTCTAGTAAGTAGTTTTCCAAGACTAGCAGAGGAGATTGAGCAAATGAGACTAGAATAATATGCTTTGGCATGTGGGATTCTCATATATGCCATGGTCTATACCAAACAGGACATCCGTTACATTGTAGGGATAGTCAGTAGATATCAGTCCAATCCCGGACTTGATAACTAGTCTGTTATGAAAAATATCATTAAATACCTTAGGAGAACCAATGATCTCATACTCATTTATGGATGTGATGATGTGGTTTCAGTCAGGTATGTTAGTTTTGATTTTTAATCAGATGTAGATACTATGAGGTTCATGACTTGGTGTATGTTCATTCAATGGAAGGGAAATCAGTTGGTAGAGTGTTAAGTAGATTTCAACTGCTTACTCAAACCTGAAGGTGGAGTACGTTCCAACCTTAAAGGCAGCAAAGGAAGCATTTTGGTTTGATCTCACTGATTTAGAGGTGGTGGAGCATACTAGCCTGCCTATTAAGCTATATTGCGACAATAGTACAAAAGTAGCCCAAACCAATGATCCAAGACTCCATAGAGGAACAAAGTACATCGATTGGAAGTATTATGTCTTACATAATATTGTCTTGCAAGAAAATGTACTCATGGCTAGAACACAGCATTGGAACATAACTTTGTTGATCTATTAACAAAGGTGTCATCGATTAATAGTTTTGATCATCACTTGGATAACATTAGAGTTAGATGTAATTAGAATTTGCTATGAGGGTAAGTGGGAGCTGTTAGGATTTATATGCCCTGAAATAGCGAATTCTTAATTGGGTTAAAGTGGCATATGTTCCTAAGATATCTGAAATATTTATGCTTTATACAATTGATGAATTCAATGTATTATATTTCGATTCATTATGGAATTGATAGTGTCCACTTGATTACAAGAGATATTTATGTATATGTATGTGATGGCGATCAATACATGAATATAAATAGTAATCATAAATAGTTCATAGTCGGTAATTATGAATTGACTCATTATTAACTACGACTTGAACTGAATCTGCATTAGGTTAAGATATATTGCGAGAGCCGTCGTATGCAATTGCTCTCTATCACTGTCATAGCATTTGACTCTTAGACATAAGAGAAGTATAGACTCTTTTATTAATTAATAATTACTTTGATTTGTTCGGCGGATACTTCGGGATCCTTAGACCGACACTTTGGGTAGTTATGTAATTAATAGTTAGAGGGTTATATTCTTAATATTTGCATCAATGCTACTTGTATTTATTTTGTATTGATGATTATGGTTGATCACAAATTAAATTCGAAGGCCTTCGTGTGTTTTTAGACAAAATGATTTATTATATATTTATGTATTTAAATTATTATTTTTGTCAAACAAATATTTTATTGTGATCAAGCCAGAAATAATCAAAGGTACCAAAATAAATATATTAATTAAGTAGTCGGATTGATGGCTTTATTTATCCAATAACTAATTATGCATAGAGGGGTCAAAGTGCAACATTGACTTAGAGGTTATTTATTATTTAATTAGAGTTCATTTAATTTCTTTTAGCGAAGTAGAAATTAATTTATGAATTAATTGAATTGGGTCCATGGATTGGGCCAATTATTAATTCATTGTAGCCAAGAAAATAATAAGCCCAACGGATTCTAACTCATAGCCCAACTTGATATTGGAATCCTATTAGATTTGAGATATGGTAATTAGAGATTGAGAAAGATTTATTGTTTCCTTTCCTTATCTTTATGTTACCTATATATAAATGGTCCATGTATATTTTAGGGGAGACTTTGAGAACGAAAAAAGGGATATATTTTTTTCTCTGAGTTTTAGTTTATGACTATTCTTGAAACACCACAGACAGCAACTGAAGTTAAAGAAGATAGTGAAGACAGTAACTCAGAGATTAAAGAAATACTTGAAGAATGTGAGAGACTTGCTGTGCAGTGCAATCAACAAAAGTCTCAGCTGAAAGCCCTCAGTTTTGAATTGTAAAAATCCAAATAACTTCTTGCTAAACACTTCAAGCTTAAGTTGTCAACCTTGTGTTCAGTTTCTCTTATCTTCTCAAGTCTAATTAAGTCTTAATCCTATACTGAATGGTCTACCAAAAGATGTATAGAAGAACTCTCACTGATTCTTGAAGAAAGGTCTATAAAAATGGCTGAGATTTGGAAGCAATCCATAAAGCAAATTGGGAAGACTGGAATTGGTTACATCTGTGACATTGTAACCAAAGTTAAACAAAACCACTTTGTGTTTGTTAAGGCCACCACTGGTGAGGTGTATACAAAGTTTCCAATTGTAAAATGAATGAGATCAAGGTATGGTATACTTGACAACACCTACAATAGCTTAGGGTTGAATGGAAGTGATTTTGTTACATCATCCATCAGTAACTTCAAAGTTACCAAGATGTATGTGAGGAAATCTAACTTGACTCAAGTTCAAAAGGTCAAAGGCAAAGGATCTCTTGCGAAGTCCAAGATGATGTGGATGCCCAAGAAGATGAATGCAGTGAGTATGTTGGTGTATACAGCCTTTAAGGCAAGCAACTCTTATGATAAATGGTATGTTGACAGTGGCTGCACTAGACACATAACAGGTGATGGTTCCAAGTTTGTTTCTCTGAAGAATTTTGATGGTGGAAATGTGATCTTTGGAGAAAATCAAAAAGCAAAAATTACAGGTATCGGCACTGTAAGCAAAACTGAAGAATTGCTTGAGATTAAAGAAGTTCTACTTGTTGAAGGCCTCAAACATAATCTCTTAAGTGTCAGCCAATTGTGTGACAATGGAAAGAATGTGTACTTTGACAAATAAAAATGCAATGTGGTTCATATTGAATCTGAAAAGGTTCTATTCTCAGCTTCTAGATCCTCTGGAAATGTCTACACTATTACTGAAGAAGCTACTCAATGCAATTTAACCACTTTTGATGAAGTTATACTATGGCACAAGAGATTAGGTCATCTTCATTCAAGAAATCTATCGAAAATCCAGAAGCTAAAAGTTGTGAAAGGCTTACCTGATCTAAACTTCAGTAATAATCATCTTTGCAAAGCCTGTCAATAGGGAAAATAGACTAAAGTTTCATTCCCCTCTAAAGAAATCAACACTTCCAAAGCTCTTGATTTGATACACATGGATCTCTATGGCCCTACTAGAACAACTAGTATTGGTGGAAGTAAATACTTTATGCTTCTCATTGATGATTTCAATAGAATGGTGTGGGTTTACTTCTTGAAAGAAAAATCTGAAGCTATTTCTCACTTTATCAAGTTTGTAAATCTAGTTGAAAATGAAAAGGGCTACACTGTAAAAAAACTCAGGTCTAACTTTGGCTCTGAATTTACAATGAGAGAATTTGAAAGCTATTGTGATATAAAAGGTATCAAGAAAGAGTTTTTAGCTGTAGCTACCCCTCAGCTAAATGGGGTTGTGGAAAGAAAGAATAGGACTGTTTAGGAAATGGGGAGAACTATGTTGTTTGAAATGGGTCTTGCTAAGGGATTTTGGGCAAAAGCTGTAAGTACTACAATGTCTATCACCAATAAGGTGCTTCTTAGACCAAATTCAACTAAGACTCCATATGAATTATGGTATGGAAGACCTGCAACAGTCCATTACTTCAAGGTGTTTGACAGCAGATGTTTTATTCTCAATCATATAGACAACTTGGGGAAATTTGACTCTAAAGCTGATGAAGGAATATTCTTAGGATACTTTATCAAAAGCAAGGCTTTCAGATGTTAGAATCTCAAATCTTCCAAAGTTGTTGAATTAATTCGTATTAACTTTGATGAAAGTCCTCAGTCCATTATCAGTGATGATAGTTGTTCTATACTAGGATCAACAGAAGCCTATCCCTCTTCTTCAATTCAAGGTCTAAATGAAACCATTCAATCCACTTCAGGATCTGATAATCAAAGGGACGTTACTTTTCCAGCGTTACAAAAACAAGTTCAAGCTGAAAACATCATTGGATCACCTCAGGTTGGTGTTCAAACAAGACACAAGAAAAGGCTGACTGAATTAGAAGCTGAAGATGGAGTAATGTACAGTCATTTTGCTATGTTATCCTCAATTGAACCAAAGTCTTACAATGAAACACAGAAAAGTGAAGATTGGATAGTGGCTATGTAAGAAAAACTTGACCAGATTCATAAAAATGATACTTGGACTTTACTTCCTAGACTTGTAGCTAAGAATGTCATTGCTTCCAAGTGGATTTACAGGAACAAGTTGGATGAGAAAGGGTTTGTTATTAGAAACAAAGCAAGACTGGTTTGCAAAGGTTACTCTCAACAAGCAGGTATTGATTAAGATGAAAGCAAGACTATACCAAGCAGGTATGGATGATGAACATGATTAGGGGAGGAAGACACTTGATTCACCGAATTTTGGTTGATCAAAAATTAATCAAACCTTTGAGATAAAGACTTGACTTCAGTGGCTATGTCATTGGAATTGTCAACTTGATATAAGCCGACATTCTTCCTTGCACCTAAATTCCTACCATTTTTGGATGACAAGGATCGATGCATTGAATTCTCACTCATGTTCTCATATAGTTATCAAACATCATTTTCATGCTTATCAAGATAAGAACCACCCATAGATGCATCAACCATACCCTTGTGATTATCTGGCAAACTTTCAAAGAAGTATTAAACTAATTACGACTTAGGCATGTCATGGTGTGGACACTTCCTAAGCAAATCATTATTTATGCTCTATTAATCATTGGCTGAAGGTGACAACTGCATGCTCTAGGTGTATGAAGCTTTGTGTACTCAGCATTACTATATATATGCTGTTATAGAGCTTTTAGGGTTTCAAGCCTTATGAAAAATTGAGAAAAGTGAGTTACAGCTAGTTTTCTCTCGAGAGCTTTGAATGAATAAGTCTTTCTGAGTATTTTGATGATAATCTTTACAAGAAAAACCTATTGAATCAACTCAGGAGTATGTATAAGGTGTTGAGATGATGTTGTTGTCAGATTTACTGCTGCAAGGGATGGATTGAGTAGTGACTTTGTGTTAGGTATAAACAAGTTAATTACACTTGCTCAGTACTGTGTTTGTGTTGAAAACATGCTGAAAATGGATTGGGACTGTAAGATCACTAGTTAAGCTTGTTTTTCTATTTTAATCTTGGATTCAAATACTGATATGTTATACCGTACTATTTCTTGAGGGCTAGCAAGTATAATTTGGTGAATCAAGATTGTTAAAGTTGGCCTTGTGACAGAAAAATGGTATGCTGTGTTTTTTAGTGTTCAAACCTTAAGGATAAGGCTGACTTGTGCTGATATAAGAGTTGTGACTGATCTGTGATATATATTCATGCTGTGTTTGATTGTACAAAGCTTTTCACATGAGTAATACAGTGAAAGAAGACTGTGTGAAGTGTTGCTGAATTGATCTCGAGAGGAATTTCCTATTTTACCCCTCAAACCCCAAGTGCAATAGATTGTAGCTTTGAGGCAGTAATTTAGAATTCTGTGTTGTCTAACCTATTATAATTGTAGGGAAGACTTTCTTATAATGATTGAAATCTGTAATGGTGTTTGTGGTAAGCCTTGAGAGCTTGGTTGGTCCAAGCAGGTTTGCCTAGGATAGGGAGAGTGTGTGTTTACACAGTTATGAGCTAGTATGTGAGGAGAGTGTGTGCAAACTAGTGTCTACTTCTATGACAAGGGTGTGTGTAGAGAGTGAGATAGTTGAGTGTGTAACAGCTTACTTATAGCTAGTGGATGATTGAATTGGCATAGGCTATGAACCAAGGTTTTCCCTAATTGAAAGGGTTTCCTTGTAAATACTATTGCATTGCCTATTGCTTCTTGTTTTTATTGCTGTTAAGTTTATATATAAAAAGGTTTTGACCAATTCACCCCCCCTCTTGGTCCAACATCGGTTTTAACCATTTATCTGGAAAAGTACCTATAAACACATAATAAACATAAATCAATCTAACAATGGATAGAAGTATTACTTTAGACCTTAACATACATATATTTTGGGGCTCGAATATGCAATATTTAGAGCTCATCAGGTATGTTAAGTGATTAAAGAGCAAAAACAAAGTATACTTAGTGGTCTTATTTTATCAAGATTTTGTGAATGTAAAGTACTACAATTCATCCAAGGAAATGTGGGACTTACATGGGAGAGAATACACTACTCAAGAAGTCTATGAAACATCAGAGATCGTCAAGGATGTGATCACTCAAGATACTACCTCTTTTGTTCAAAAAAAAGAAGATGAAAATGACTCATGTGTTACAGACTTAAAGTTTAAACTCTCAGTCTTAGTTTCTTTTTCACTTGGTATCTATAACATAGTAAAGCTCAGATCAAAGGAAGCATTGTGGAAGAATAGTATTGTTAAAGAAATCACTACAGCACCTGTAATAGATGGAAGCAAAGCTAAACAAGGTTCTAGTGCTGAGGTTGATTACATTGCTAAGGAGCTCTTCATTCTTAAACTCAAGAAGATAAGACAAACTGAAAATGGGGTTAATTATAGATTTGGAAGATGGAGCTTTGAAAGGTGTAGATTACAGAAGTATGAAACTATAAAGAAAAGTTTAATGCTGTAAAATTTCAAGAAGAATGAAGGTTATTCACTATCTGTCAGAATCAGAAGCACCAAAGGAATGTCCATTGCTCTTAATACACTAGCACACAGCTTGTCAAAATATGAGATGCTAGATAATTTTGCTCAGATTATTTATGTGAACATGCAAGGAAACTCTTATTAGAGTATTCCAAAGAGAGCTCTGATCCCTAAATGGAAATCTAATCCTAGAAAATCATTGAAGAAACAAGCTAAAATGAAAAGTGAAGATGTACCCACAGTAGAGAATGTTACACTTGAAGATGTTGGTGACAAACAGAATTCATATTGGCAGCTTTTAAGAAGTGTATCTCTAGATCAATTCAAAGCCAATCTATCTATCATATATTCCTTCTCATTTCCAGCCTACTACCTAACAGATTTCCGATCAAAAGACTCATTAAGAAGACTTAAAAAATGTAAAAAATTGCATCTGTAGTATCCCACTTCTTATGCTTCTAAAGAAGACCTATTGAAACCTCAAGAAAATTAAAAAAATGTTCTTAAATTGACTCAAGAAGCTTTCATTGTTCATAAAGATCTTCAAACTATTTTAAACCTTATTTATTCAGTCTTTAAGCCTCTAAAGAGAAGATCACTAGATGTTGAATACATAAAGGTTCACAGTCCCTCTTAGATTAATCCCTTCAGCAATCTTAAGCAGCCATGCTCAGTGAACAAGTCAGAGCATTCAAATTTCAGGATCAACACATTCCTCCCAAGATCAAAAACTAATTGTTATTTCAAAGCAAATGGTCTTCAAGCCTCAGAGATGATTGCTCTCACAACTACAAGTCTTTCAAGAAAAGGAAAACTTGATGAATTCTCAAAAGTTCAAGAACTCGAAGCCTCCATATGTCTATCAAAGTTGAAATTCAGAAACAAGAGAAATCTAAGATCCCTTGAAGAAGACAATTATTCTACAATTCAACTCTCAAATGAATACAAAATTCAGTGTGGAAATAAGGGTGCTGCAAATTGTTTTGAATCAAATCTAGTATCAAATCACTCTTCAAGACCTCCTCCACTAAGAGACAAGAATCTACAAATTGATTCTGAAGGTGTGTTGATCAACTTGGCAGCTCATTCAATCCTTTATGCTCCTTCAAAAGCTATTTTACAGCATGGTTTGATCAAAAAGTCAATGTCAGTCATAGGGTCTCTAATTCAAAGAGCACTAAGTTTAATTAACACTTCAAAGC